TATTGTACGTTTTATTGAGGATCTTCAAGACTCTTCAATATTCCTTTTGACTTCCCCACTCCAAGGACAGGTCAACATTAAGCAATATTTTTGGCACAAGAGCACCCAATTCCCTGGTATGTTTGCATGTAGGATTTGCCCATGTAGGTTACAGCATAAATGTGTGTACAATCGATCCAAACAGAATGAATACATTACACTAGATACTGTTTTATAACTTTTAATTTGTAATATTTTGGTTTTGTGATTTATTTTTTTTCTATGAGCATTGTATGTACCACGTTCACATTTTTTGTTGTTGATAAGCCTTGTATTGACATGCGGATGCATGCTGTTAAAATAAAGAATTAAGTAAAAATTAAAAAGTCTCCTTACAAGTTGTTTTACTTAAAAACATTGTGTTGAGACACATCTGTATAGCTCATTTTGCTGTGTCTGCAGGGAGAACAACTTTAAATTTATGCCTATCTAATCTATTGACTTTTCCCTTATTTACAATCCATACCTTTGGAAATAGAAATTCAGCTGATTGGCATTTGTGAAATCCTAAAATAATCAATTTCAGGACAGCATAGCAACATGGGAGCACCGTGAAGGCTTGGGAAGCAGTTATAAAATTCCTTTATAAAGTCTGTGGCTGTTTGTGTAATAAAAAGCAGCTGTTTGGGATTAAGATCTGCGAGTGTAAGAAACCTATATAGCGTGCTTGTACCTCTTCGAATTCTCCAGTACCATTACAGAGTCTACTCCTGCAGAGACGGCTCTGCACCTTAAATAACTCTTACCATACAGAAATCCTTTAGGGTTGATAAAGGCAGGATCTCTTGAAAGCTAAACATGGAAGCTGGTGTGACAAGGTTTGTCAAAGCTTCCTTTAATGTCCGTCTACTTGAAATCGTTTTATTCTTTATCCCCGTATTCTTCCTTTATACGTTTGCAGTACTTCTTGTTCCAGTAAGTTAAACTTGTGGTTTTCAATTTACGTACATGACTTGTAAAGCTACTTTACGGCACCATGGAAAATGTTACTGAACTTATTATACTTTTTGCTTTTTAATATTCTGGTGACCTCTGCTTAAAAAAAAAAAAAACAAAGCAAAAAACAAAAAGTCTGTTCTTAGAGTGATGTCTGCAGCTGGACCCAGTGTGATATCCTAAACCCACTCAATGAAGATCCCTCTCCCCTCAAAAAAAGGAAAACTATCCTTTCATTTACATATATAGAGATAAAACCACCTCAGATTTCTGATGGTCCATTACTATTATTGTCTCCTTGACCTCGATTGACATTGGAGTAACCATGTCCTACAAACACACTTGCAGTGGAGTCCAGCCCGTACAGCAGATCATGTTTGCTAAACTGTATCACTGTGAGATTCTCTATCTAGAATTTCATATTCCAGTGTTAATGCAATATACACAAATACGATTGTATTTATTTTAGGACCGTAACAACCATACTGCCTTAAGGAATGTAAAAGGGGATATGCATATGGATATTTTGCACAGATTTTTGACTTTTAAGTGGAAAAGCAATCAGATATTTTTGCCTGACATGGTATTGCTCTGATGTATTTGAGAAAACCTACCCAGCATTAAGCAGAGAACAAAAGTTTAGTTTAGGCGACCAAGATGAAAAGAATCCATAACAGAGTTAATACTGCTCCCCCTTCTTTCTCCCCCAATTACTGTCTTTTCATCTTTATTTCCACTGTGTAATCAAGGAAGGCTGGTACTGTAACCTTTTCAGTTTCCTTTTGTTTTGCTGAAATGTTTCGATTACGCTGAAAGGATGTAGAAGTTGAATTGTACCGTGGTTGTCCCAGGTCCAAGAGGTACAGAAACATGATTACAGATGTCTATTCAACAAAGAAGCATTGTTATGTGAGAAATGTCCCAAATCTTTAGTCAATGTAAACAGATTGAGTGTTAATACAGCCAGCTACATATGGTGATTTTAACCCATTCTGGTTTTTAGAATTTCGAAGTAGCCTATTTTTTTTTGGGACCACTGCCTATTGCAAGTTGGGCACTTTCATATTGATTCTGTCCCTTCTACTTCTTTCAGGACTGCAAAATCTGTTTGTACTTGTGTAAAACAATAATACACAAGATTGTGTTTTTGTTTTGAAAATTGTAGCAATTATACAGAAAGACCACTAACTGCCCCTGTGAATATCTTGTGTAGGAAGCAGGTTGATGTCACTAATAGATTGTCCTATCCCAGCACCCTCCTTTTATAATGGTGTGCACTGGAGAGGTAATAGATGTTGCTGTGGGTCTTGATTTTTCTCCTGTTTCCTCATAAGGTGGTCTGAAATCAGAATGTATTAAAACAAAAATTGGGGGTATTTCAGCAGACATACATGTGTGGTACACAAGAGTGTGGCTAAGAAACAGGGAAGTGGTCGGTGCAGAAATGGGCTCACATATTTAAATTGTAATTTTACAGTTTTTCTTGTATTACTTTTGTGACTCCTAGAAGTAGGAACTCCGATGAAAAATGGAGACAATTTGATGTCCTAAATTGGAACTGTCCCAATTTATCTTCAATATTTGTAATATAGCATTATTGCAGTGGATCGGGAGTATAGTGTAAAATGTTGTTTGACCTTTGTAAAGTGTATCTTGACCACATGTCACATGTTGGCTAGGATTACAAGATAACTTTGAATGTGCCTTACCTCAATGTATTGTGGACTTCTGTCACCCACCAATTCTGCAATTCCTAAAGTGAATGTAATGGGAATAATCCGTTTTGATTTGTATAGGTCATTCTGTTGTAATTGTTTCTTTCTTACAGGAAGATACTCGGACGGTTCTACTTTTGGACTCCTGGGTTTGGTGCTGCATTGCCAGCTTCCTATGTTGCTATTCTGATTGAAAGAAAGAGCAGGTAAACATCTATTTATCTTTGCTTTTAGTTTTCGACTTGCAGTGGTTCCATGCCTATTTTGAAGAACGCGATCAGGACTAGCCACAGCCGCTTTAAAGGGACACTATAATCACCAAAACAACTTTAGCCTAATGAAGTTTTGGTGTATAGATCATGTCCCTGCAGCCTCACTTCTCAATAATTCTCTGCCACTTAGGAGTTAAATCACTTTGTGTATGCAGCTCTAGTCACACCTCCCTACATGTGACTTACGCAGCCTTCCTAAACACTTCCTGTAAAGAGTCATAAAATGTTTACACTTCATTTATTGCAAATTCTGTATAACTTAAAATGTCCTGCTTTGTTAATAGCTTGCTAGACCCTGCAGGAACCTCCTCTGTGTGATTCAAGTCCAGGCTAAATCCGGCTTCTGGCTTTTCAGCTTCAGGAAGCGTAGAGTGCTGCCGGCAGGAGCACTGCTGATTAGCTGTGAGCGGTTAGCTATTCACTAAACTGGGATGGAAAAGTACATTTCTTTCCAAGCCAGTTTTATGAATGGGGAGTTACTGATTGGCTGGGAGCGTCAGCAGACCACTCATTAGTTTTTCATGCATTCAAGCCCATAGCCCTCTGAAAATGGGTCCTTCCCATGTGAGCATGCATTGGGTCTATACAACCCACCTATTAACTGTATGCTTTTAACCCACTTTTAGTCCATGCAATCAGAATGTTTTATTTTTGCAATGCAAATGACTCCGGTACCTGAGTGACAGTGTGTGTAATGTGTAGTGTTCTGCTTTTTTTTTCTGCATACCCTCATATAGAGTCTGAAACATAGGTACCTCTAGGTTTAAATGCAGAACTTGAATAATCCAATAATCTATAAAAACAGATTGTGCTAGTATATTTAACATCGAACATGATATAATTCTGTTATTTAGATGTTTGTATGTTTAGGTCATTTAATAAGAGTGGTATGGCTTTAACATATTTTATGTATTCTAAGATTTTATCCATAGCTGGTGATAGGGTTATTTTTATTTTTATCATTAGTTGCTCTTATTTCTAGTAACTAGTCAATATATACATTTTTATTGTTTGGGAGATTACTCATAATTTTTTACTGTTTTCTCTTTTTTTATATTTATTAGAGGTATCTCTGTACAATCTGCATTTAGTGGTATATCAGTTAGATGTGCATTTCATTTACCCTGATAAATATTAAGTTTAATTCATTTTTCTCCCCTTTACCAAGTGATAAGCACCTTGATTTGGAATATGGAATTTGATGTGTATTTCCACTTCTTTTTATTTATTTTTTTAGCAGCTTTTTGTCTGCTATATATTTTTTAAGACCTATTTTATCTCTATTGACATTGATCTTCAGCATAACAATAAATTATATATTTTTTATCGATGTGACGAATAAGTGGATTATGAGATGTTTTTATTGTCGTGTACTTGCAAATGCTTTTAACAGAAATCCAAGTAGAGCAATGTATGTTATATTTGTGATTTTACATTTATGCAACATGAAGGGAATTTTATCTGTATTTTAATGTACCCGAGGACTATTACTATTACGATAATAGGTAATGGAAAGTTAGGGTGTATATAAGTGTTCCCCAAGTACTGCCGCCTCTTTATCCTGAGAGAGCCCACAGTCAGGGGGCGAAATGCGTTGATGAGGCTTCTGTACTTTTAGCAGTCACAAGGAGATCAGCGGCAAGGAGTTGGAGCGTCTCTCCGGACTTCACATAACAGACTCTGCAATTCAGGAAGAGACTGGGGAAACGAAGTATGCTGGTGGAGTGGTACTTGAAATCGATACATTGTATGGAATATAGAACCTAATCGCAAATTGGATACATTGAATATTGAGAACTGAACACCTGGTCCCCTAGCTATGAATCAGTACTGTCTAGGATATTCAGTACAATGAACTCGATACAGAGATAATTTTTAAATATTGGCTGTTAAGCGTTATCTTTGATTATCTTTTCAAGGGTATATTTACAAAGCGCTTCCATATTATTTTGTGTATACTGAAACATAGGTGTTTATTCACAAAATCAGTGCTCCTCAATAGTGATGTCGCGAACCGTCCGCAATCTTGCCGCGAACTCCGGTCAGCTGACACATCCCTGCCAATCTCCGGCAGACCCTCCCTCCCAGTCCCTCCCACTTCCTGGACAACATCCATGTTGAAGCTGCCTTCAACATGGATGCTGTCTGGGAGGGAGGGTCTGCCGGAGATTGGCAGGGATGTGTCAGCTGACCGGAGTTCGCCGCGAACGGTTCTTGGCGAACCACGGCGAACCGTTCGCGGCAAGTTCGCGGACGGTTCGCGACATCACTACTCCTCAACCCTCTCCTCAAGGCACACCTACCAATCCAGATTTTACAGATTACCCAGGTGTGTATAAGGTTTAAAAAAAAACAAAACAAAAAAACACACAACACCTTTTTTTAACACCTTAAACACACCTGGGTAATCAGTAAATCCTGGACTGGCAGGTGTGCCTTGAGGAGAGGGTTGAGGAGCACTGCACTAATTAATAGATTGTAGCGAATTGAAAATGGTTTTGGAAAATTTACGTTAAAATATCCAAGCTGGAATTTTATTATTTCTTTGTTCTTTTGTTTTCTTTGTTTGTTTTTACGAGATAGGCCATTGTGACTTACATTTTGCATTTTCATTTTTCAGTTTGCTAGAATTAACCATTTAAAGAATAAAATCTTTCAATTCCAAAAGATCTCACAATGAAGAAAAAAAATCAGCTCTTCCTATTGGGCCTCACAGAACATAGGAATAACATCGGAAACATAAACACTTGACCCAGACTATAATACACCTAAACTAGTCTTGGCTGAAAAATAAATTGCAAAATTCTCTTGCTTTTTCCAGACACTGACTTTCAGTAATTCCCTGTACAAGATAAAAAAAAAAAAAAGAATGGGCCATAACTCCTGAGACTGGCGTTAGACGGAGTCTTGTGTAACATGAGGTTTAAGAACCTCAGTGACCCCTTAAGCTCTGACTCTGAGTTCTAGAACACCACTAAGCAAGCACCTCCTTGAGTTATCAAAGGGTTAATCAATCCACTATTAACATCGATAACCTCTTGGAAAGCTTCATATTTTAATTAAGACTTGTCATCATGTTTGCATACTGTGTTCTTTTTGGAGTAGTTACGGAATGTTTTCCACATGAGGTCAGGTTTCTGTGATGCCACATGGGATAAAGTGAGAGAGAAGCAATTTGCGTGGGTTCACGATGGAGTAGCTTACTCGGGTGTGCAGGGGGTAGTACTTCATTACAAGAAATATAAAGGATATTACAACGTGATTCACTGGAAATTAATGTGAATCTAGTTCTTTTAAAACTTTATAATTTCTAATGTCCAATATAGTATGGCCTATAAAACATTACTCTGCAACCTTTCTACGACGGGTCTCCGTGTCCTTTCTCAGCAGATTCCGTGCCGACTAGTACTTGATTGATTGACTCAATGGGCAACTCTAACCCTTTTTTACCATGTGTTTGCTTTTTTTTTTTTCTTGTTTTTTTATTTTAATTTATGATGCCCTATTAGACACTAGCTACTTGGAAAAACCTGTAAAATGAGCATTAATTTACTTGACATCTAGTATAGGGTGAAGTTCTTCTCAATTCTTTCCATGCCTTGTCCACTTTCACGCTTCTTATAGACTAACATTTAATTGGACCGTTCTGACACGCTTAAAGCGCATGCGTACACTTTTATTTTGAACTGAGGAGGGGAGGGATTGTAGGAGATCAAGGGGGAAGGATCAAAACAAAAAAAGTTTGAATGCTAGACAATATAGGGAGGAATACAGGTGTCTACTTGCAGGCACACTCACAGTGCTGCCTGTAAGACCAGAAGACTATTACATCTGTCGCCAGCGTGTAATGTGTGCTGACAAGAGACCTAATTGTTGAATTATCATTAGGCAGCCCGAGGTGCAACTAAACACCTGCACAAAAGTGTAGATTGCTTTGTATAGGCAACATTCCGAGCAGGAACGCTGCACATACAAAGTTCGTGCTCTATGACCACTTCTAGAAGCAGAAGTGGTCAGTAAGGTTAGAGTTTTAATTATATACTCCACAGGACAATAGACTTTTCACAAAATGGAATATATGTGCACCAGGAACTATTATCATTATTTCTCTGGATAATATACATGTATAGTCTGAAGTTGGCCTGTGAGCAGTATTGTAACATATGTTTTGCATTTCAAATTCTGCAAAGCATTATCACAGATATTTCTCAGGTTTACAAATAAATTACTGGTAAAATATACACGATTTTGACTTATTTTCTTGTGCAGTGCATTGTGTGCAGAACATATGTACGTGTTTAAACCTTTTCAAATCTATGTGTTTTGCTGGAAAATGCACTTTGACTACTTTTAGAAATGGTGGTTTTGTTTGTTTGTTTTTTTTCATTTTAATTTTTCAATGGAGGACACCATGATAACATACAGAGTTATTCCATAACTCAGAATTTTAGCTAATTCAATTTAAATGGCAACAGCAAGGCTTAAATAACAGACTTGGAGACATTCTCCATCTCTGTTCTAGGCACATCATGGCCTCCGTTTTGCAATTCAGGTGTCATCTGCTTAAACAGTGAGTTTGTTCAAAAACCCTGCTAGACTTCTACAACTGCTCAGAGCTGCAGAGTAGTGTAGTGGGATTTACAATAGCTTTGCTCGCTGTGAAAAATGTGTGAAAGGCTGCCATGTTTTTTGGAAGCACTGTTTGTTTTGCTCAAAATGTTAGAAAAATAAGTGAAAAAAAGATCATGGTCATATTTCTCATGGTTACTGCAAGGTTTTGGTAGGAAGGGTGGGAGAGAATTAGATGGTACTTGCTGTTTTTCAGGTTTTTTGTTTATTTTTTTCCCCCACAAAATAATATTTCCAATGTGCTCGTAACTGATCTGAGTTTTTGGATTATCATTGTATGGTGCAGTGATGCCAGGGAGCCAGCTTTCAAGGGGCAATGCCGCCTGGAGCACCCATGAAGCTGAATGCCCACTACTTGAAGTCCTATATTCACCCCTTTAACTTAACTAATCCATGCATGGACAGACCACCAGTGATGGTAAGAAGTGGAAAACCCTAATTTTTCCCTTTGAAAGTTTTCTGTAACTGAATCACGGAACCAGTGACTTCCAAAGAAGGTGAGCAATAAGCATCAAAAAAACCACCCGTGGGAAGAGCTTGGCCTCTGATTCTTCAAATGTAAAATGTTCTCAGTGACTCATTTATCAATTGTAATATATAGCTAAATAAACGTTGTTCACTGATCAAGGCAGTTCCCTTTGGGATCCTCTTGGTTATTCAGTAAACTATGTAGTTTTGTGAATTATATCTGAATTGTAAACCTGAGGACTACAGCTGATTTGGAGAATCTATTGGCAATTTTTACCTAACATTCCGAGTTTAGATACTGTTGATCAAATCCTCTCCCTGCTGCATCAGATTCAAGTTTCCATACTGCAGGGAGATATGGTGAATCTGATGTCCCTAATTAAACAAATCCCACAGTGCGACTATTCTACAGCATGTGGACCAAAGATGGACTGGATATGCGTTTGTTGAGAGTCCTGTTCCACCAGCCTGCATTGGGACGGTCATAACAACAAGTGATGGAATGTGATGAATTAACAGGTGTCTGCTGTAATGCGGGAGTGGTGTCTCATATAGCAGGCATCAGCAAACTCAGCCTTTTCCCATCTTCAAGAAAGTCTTTTACTCCCAGGCATGGGGGTGCTGCTTTCATTAAGAATTGAGATTAGCACGGACACTTGAGAGAGACATCTGTCTCTTATTACCAAGTCTTGACGGCATCTGCCGCTTGATGCACCAGCTGGAACTGATAGGAAACTATTTATTTCAAATAGCTCTGCACAAGTTAATTTGCCCTCATAATTGTCAAAGTGATTCCATTATCTGCTGTGCAGGCGGTGGGAGAACAGTCACTGCTAGCAGTTACCAAGCTTGGATTGCGACCATTGAAGTCTTCATTATGTTAAGCTATGTTTCTCCTCCCAGTCCTTCAGTCTAGGGAGTTAGTTATTATTATTATTATTGTTGTTATAATATATTTATATGGTGCCAACATATTGTGTAGCAATTTAAAAGTGTAATATGAGCGTTATACAGCAAATAAGCGACAAAATATTACAAGTTTTAACTGGAAACCAGAGGATGTTGAGGACCCTGTTTGGTACTGATTTCCCCTTTTTATTCTCCAATGGATTTGCTACTGGTAAGTAGATAGTAGTTTGGAGGGGTGGGACGTGGAAGGTGTAAATCCCTGTGACCTGTTACAGATCTGTATTTAAGAAAGAAAATAAAGCTATAACACGCCGCAACCACCTTGGTTAGATTTTCATGGTAGAGACTGTGAGATTGTGATATCTCGTGCTTTTGGTGGTAAGCCAGTCTCATGTTTGGTAAACAGCGGGATTAATAAATGGCAACAATTACAATCATGTATAACCATCTATCCAATAAAGCACATCTATATTGAGGACTTAGGGAAATGCCCTACGGTAGCAAATACGTTCTGCCAACATGACAAATAGCGTGTACATGGTGGCTTAGCAGACTCCTTGTTGCATTAACAAAAAAACTGTGTTTTCATAAAACACTGGTTTTGGTTAGATTAACCCTTTCGGATGTTGTCTGCTTCCCCCAACCTTATTTTTTTTAAATTCTTTATTTGAGTCAATCAAATAGAAATACAATGTACAACTGTAATAGAATAAGCATTAGTTTAACATAGGACACATTATATGCTTAATGAATAATACAGCTAATTTCTTCTTATTACTGTGTCTGTTATTGAGATAATGTTTCAGTTGTATAAGATCATTATTCTGCTCTCATCATTTTAATAAGTAGCGAATTAATAAAGAAATAGAAGAAAGAGGAAAAAAAGAGGGGGAGAAGAAGATAGTGTCGCTGTGGGCATCGTACTAAGACGCCCCCAACTTTTATTTAAAAAAATAAATAAAAAGGTAAAAGGCTAAAAATTACCTTCCTTTCTACAGCCAAGGTCATGTTTTCCACTCAGCCCAGTCCTCTTTTACTGGCGTCACACCTCGTTACCGGGGGAGGGAGGGAAGTCATGGAGGACATTGGCTGTATGATGTGCGCGCTGGCATCAAATGCCAATTATGCACAGAATTGACATGAAACAGCCTGGAACTTTGTTTGGGCTGGCTAATGACTAACCCCTTCGGCAGCTG